GAAGGGCAGGCCGCTCCCGGGCGGGACTGTGCGGTGATTCTTGGCTTGATACTACAGCCTGACGAGCGTCGCCTGCGGGGCTGGGACGCTCATGTCCTGTCTCGGGCTCGAGCCGCCGCCTCATCTCCCAGCAGCTTATTTCCTGTTGTCCAAATCCTTCCATTACGTGGCGGAGCGCGGACACGCCAGCGGCTGCAGGCCGCGAGCCGGGGGCAGGCGCTGGCAGGTGCCGGCGCTCAGAGGCACAGCACCCGGCTTTCCATAGAAAAAGGGGAGCGAGAGGACGGCCGCACCTCAGGCTCGTTCTGCTAAGACGCTGCGGACAGGCGGGCTGACCTCTAGGCCTTCGGCGCTCCAGGCCTTACCGCCTGGCGCCCTCTGCAAAGCGAGACGCGGCTGTGCTTCACTGTGTGTCTCTAGAGAACTCTTAAAGTAGGGGACTCGAGACTAGAGACAGGGCGAATCTGCCGAGAGCCTCTCAGGCCCTGAGTGTGACTCCTCCCGACTGCCAGGGCTCTTTGCGGGGAGATGAAAGCCAGTGTCCATGAACCCATCTCATGGACGCTCACCCCTGAGGCAGGAAACCTTCAAACAGTGTTAGCAGACTTCACAGGAATACAAGGAAAGCACCCCGTGGACCACCATGTCGCCAGCGTCCCGGGAAGCCGCGGGGCTCACACAGGCGCCTCGCACCACGAGGTGTCTGCGGCCCGCTGACCGGCCTGGCCTCCGTCCTGGGTGAGGACTTTCTCTAGAACTAAAAGGGAAAGAGATGAAAGAGGGCTACTTCCACACAGGCCGCGGCTTCAGGGGCTCGCCAACAGGAAGCCTGCATGAAAGGAGCCCGCGCCGGGTCGTCCCCACGCAGCGGCACGGGAGACCAGGCGCCCAGACGGCACCGGCACGGGAAGCCGTCCAGAAGGGGCGGAGGGCGAAGCAGCATGCCAGGCTGAACGGCGGCCAGAGATGCCACGCGCTGCCCGCCGGCCCCAGGGGACCGACCGCGGGTGGACGGCAGGTCTCCAAGCCGGCGGCCTCTCGTGAGAGATGGGCGTCAGGAGCCAGGTCACCCCCACTGCCCGTGCTGCTCCCATGCCTGTGCACCCGGAGGCCCCTCGGGGAGCCCAGCAGACCGGCGTGATCCAGCGGATCATCAAAACGTCTCCCCGGCGTTCAGGCCTTGCACGTTATCCTCGTCCCACGCAATGCAGCATGTTCACAGGCTTCAGAGGCGAAGAGAGGTATCTCTGGGGAGCAATTATTCCACCTAACAGTTCTCACTGGTAATCGCTTATTTATCCAGGCAATCCACGTATGGGCAGCAATACTATCCCACGCCGATGCCAGTGCTGCACGCCGGTGAACTACAGGCATCGACCGAAACCAGCCCCCCCGTGCACGCAGCCACGCCAGCAGCAGCCAGCCACGGCGGCGATGCAAACGCGGTGTGGGGTCCAGCACCTTCCCCTCCCGGCCACCCGCTGCCCGCTGTCCCTAAGGCCAGAGAGCTGTGACTTGCACCCCGTCCTTCGCACCCCCATCTCGCAGGTGCTCCTTCCCAGCAGAAGCCACCGTGTTCCACTACCTCAAATGGTGCCACATTCTGAAGCTGGGGTCCTGCAGTTTTATGTGCTTTGCATAATCTAACTCGTTCCCGCCAGCATCTGCCACTGCAGAAGCCAGAGAATCCCCATGGCCTGAATACTAGAGTGGCTGAATGTTTTATTTTTTAAAGATTTTATTTATGCATGCACACATAACTGGGTACAGGGCAGAGGTACAGGGCAGTGAGAGGATTCACCAGAGACAGAGTGGGGAGCAGAACAGGCCAACTGATGAAGGACATTGCTGAGGGGAGCAGCGGGCGGGTCAGGAGAGGTCTGCTGCGCCCTGTGGGTCACCTCCGGGGCGGGGATCGAGCTTGTGCTGAGGTGGCCTTAGCTTCTCAGTGCTGTGCTTCAACCCGCTGTGCCACCGGGGAGGGCCTGGCTGTATGTGTGTGTATACATATATGTGTGTATATATATTCCGCCCCCCACCCTGGGGCTGTATATTTTTTAACCACCTTGTTTTCTTCTGAATCCAAACCAGGAACAGGCTTACTGAAATACAGTAATGAACCTGCTGGGCTGCAAAGCTATGATGTGCGGTGTTAGTCCGCTGGTATTAGTGTATTAACTATATGTGGGTCTCTGGGTATATGAATAAGCCCTAAAGTTGCTTGTTAGGACTTTGGAAATAACGCAGAAGGGAAATTCTAGTAAATTAGCGGAAGGAGAGCTCAAAATGAAGGGTTCAGATGCCAATTTCATGCAAGGTCGTCAGGAAGATTATGTGACCTGGGATTCAGCAGTATTGAAATATAAAGTCTATCAATGTCTTACAAACATGTAAGTTTCTGCTCTGCGGTTAACCCCCCCAAGAAGAGATGCTTGGTGTTCCAAGGCCCAAGTCTGCCATCTTTGATGACCAATGTAGTTTGTGTCCTGTAATTCACAGGTGGACATCAGACTTCCTGAACGTCTCTGCCTTCTGGTTTACTTTAAGTGAATGTGAACACCGATGACACCCTGCCTGTGCAGGGCCAGGGCCGCCTCCTAAACCACCCTGCAGGGTCCAAGAACACGTCTAAGGAGGAACTCTGGCGGTGATTTCGAAAAGAGCCACCTGTTAGCATTTACATTCGTGCAGGTGGTATGCGCATTCACACACCTGCAGTCTGGGTGGGACCAGAAACGCTGCTTCCTTCTGTCAAACACGCAACTCTGTCAGTTCCTTCAGCCCTGGCAGAGTCCTGGCAGCTCAATGTGTGCTGTGACGCCAGGGAAATGAGGTACAGACACAGTGTAGACTTAGGATCAAATTCTTAATAATAAGGTGCTCTCCTTAAACTCAATTAAAGACTGCCTGGGGTTTCCCTCAGAGAAAACCCGTCACACCCAGAAGAGATTTCGACCTTCTCAGACTTAAGGGCCCCAGCACGTGATGGAG